GGACCGGATACACCGGCACCTGAAGCTGCCGCTGAAGCCTGCTGCTGGGGCGCAGCCATCTTCTCCACTTAGAGCATCGGAAGTGCGTCACAAGTGCGTCTCTGCCGGGTCTTCCCAGCGTCTCCATCTCCAGGTACCGTTTGCTAGTTAGCTCCGCCTCCCAGCCAATTCAGCCAATGAGAGGAAAGGGAGCACCCTGCCTTCCCGCACCCTCAAACCCGAAGTCCAGACTGAAGTATATTCTCACCAATCACAGGAGGACATTCCTCCCTCGCTCCGCCCTGTAGCCAGCCGCTCACCAATCGTATGTGGTTCCAACCCGGACTCTATTTCCCTGAAGGCTTCGCGGCGTGAGGTGACCTGTCGGGTCCTCAGCGTCTTGGCGGCAGTTGGTGGAGCCGGAGCTGCGAGTTCGTCCCCGGCTCTGCCTGCGCGTTTACCAGAGTGTTGTCCGGAGCGCCTCTCGGCAGTCCATCTCATCCCACCTTCTCCTCACAGAGAGCGGCGCCAACCCGAACCCTGCCTCGGATCAGACGTCCAACGAAGCGGGCACGCCCCTCCGCATCTCCCCGCGGCGCAGCAAGGACCCTGTCGGGGTCGCCATCGGCTCGTCGCTATGGCGCCCACCATCCAGACTCAGGCCCAGCGGGAGGATGGCCACAGGTAGGCGTACGCCGCCTGGCTGTGTATCTTTTCTATACGTCTGTCCAGTTTTCACCAAGGTGGGGGTTCGGGTGAGGGTGTCTGCTTACAACGTCACGAAGCCCCCAGGTCTGTCCATGACGTCACGGAACCCTCACCTTTGACTAGGGGTGTGTTTCTTCTGCAACGCCAATGTTGCTTTTCCTTTGCCGTCGAGTTCAGGAATTGAGCTCGTGGATGCTCTAACCGGATGGGATTGTGTGCTTTGACTCCTCCAGTCAAGCATTTGGAGACCCCTCTTCCAAAAACGATTGAGTACTGTGGCTTTTTATTAAAGCGCCTGAAGACATGCCCTCCAAAAGGGATTGAGCACTTCAGTCACGAATGCATTTGGGGCACTTACTCCAAAAGGATGCAATACATGACTCCCTTCACTGAAGCACTTGGAACACACCTTCCAAAAAGTATTAACAGTTGTCAATTCTCTTTTTGGGGGAGGGAGAGGTTTTTGCTATAGGGCGCGTGCGCTCGCCAGAGACAGAGGGACAGAAAGAGAGAAATCGCCCCCCACGGGGGATGGCCACGCTGCAGTCCCTTCTCCTCCATTCTCCTCTCAGGATCTTGGGCACGCACGCACACGCGCCCGGCATGAGTTTAAGCTACCGGGCCCAGGACTCAAAACTGTTGACTATGTGGGAGTCCAGTGACATAGCCATTACACTAACTGCTGGTCCCTCACCTTTTCAGATCAGCCCCATCCTCTCCATTTATTATTCTTTCTTCCCCACCAGGCCCAATTCCCACCGGACTCTGCCTGAGAGGTGAGCCCCACAATACTTCCTCCAGAGGGGGTGGGGCATGGGGGCCAAGAGCACATGTGGGGTGGAAGAGGCCCAGTTTTGAGCCACTGTGTTCCCAGGTCTGGAGTGGTCTGCCGAGTCAAGTACTGCAATAGTCTCCCTGACATCCCTTTTGATCCCAAGTTCATCACCTACCCCTTCGACCAGAACAGGTGAGACTAAGATCATGGATGGGGAAGTGGCTCCGAAACAAAGAATTGAACTTTGGGGGCCAGCAGGTGGGGTGGTGGTTAAGGGTGCTGGACTGAGAAAGCAAGCCTCCAGGTCCATGGCTAACTGTGGTTCGAGTCCTGGACCTGGAGGCTTGCTTTCTCACTCCCCCTATTCCCTCTGATCAAATTAAAATAAATAAATCAAGTCTTTAAAAAATGAATGTTGAACTTTGTAGGGGGGAGACTGTCTTGTCTTATTGATGGCTCTCTCCTTGGGGCCTAGTGTGGTATCTACATAGTAGTAGATGCTCAATAAATACTTAGTGGAGCAAGCAGTATCCAAGTCCTTTTCCACTGAGCCAACTTTCAGACTCCAACATGGAGGATACTCCATTCTAAATTCCTTCCCAGAGGAGCTTAACCTCTGGGGAGCAGGGATATGAGGGGTGAAGCTAGGATTAGCAAGAAACCACAATGGGCATATTTCCTCACCAGGTTTGTTCAGTACAAAGCGACTTCCTTGGAGAAACAGCATAAACATGACCTCCTGACTGAGCCAGACTTGGGAGTCACCATCGACCTCATCAACCCTGACACCTACCGCATTGACCCCAATGGTGTGTGGGAAGGGTGGATGTACTGTAGGCCAGCAAAGTTCAGACCTGGGCCTTCTTCATGGTCCTCTTGTCCCCTTGCTCTCCTCTAGTTCTCTTGGATCCAGCTGATGAGAAGCTTTTGGAAGAGGAGATTCAGGCCCCTACCAGCTCCAAGAGGTGAAGGGGTGCAACATGGGTATATAGGATTGGTTTGGATGGACTCTACAAGGAGGGCTGTGGGGTCCTGAGGTACCCAATTTTCTACCCCAGATCCCAACAGCATGCAAAGGTGGTGCCATGGATGCGGAAGACAGAGTATATTTCCACTGAGTTCAACCGTTATGGCATCTCCAATGAGAAGCCTGAGGTCAAGTAAGTTGTAGACAGGAAAGGAGGGAAAGTAGATATTTCAAGTGCATCCAATGGCCCCTAAAGGCCATCCTCTTCATTCTTAGGATTGGGGTTTCTGTGAAGCAGCAGTTCACTGAGGAAGAAATATACAAAGACCGGGATAGCCAGATCACAGCCATTGAGAAGACTTTTGAGGATGCCCAAAAATCGGTAATTGAGGCGCTGGAATGGTTCAAGAGGTATGCCTCCAGAATCCTTCCTCACCCTGATTTTGCCCTTGTCAGATCTCCCAGCATTACAGCAAGCCCCGTGTGACACCGGTGGAGGTCATGCCTGTCTTCCCAGACTTTAAGGTCAGGCTTGGGTAGGAGGCAGAGGCGGCTAGCCTTCCATCTCTGCCTGTTCCAGCCTAACCTCAGTGTCTTCCAACCCCAGATGTGGATCAACCCGTGTGCTCAGGTAATCTTCGACTCAGATCCAGCCCCCAAGGACACAAGTGGAGCAGCTGCGCTGGAGATGATGTCTCAGGCCATGATCAGGTTAAGTAGTCCCGCTGCTAGCCTTGACCTGTTCCCTATTACTTATTGTTCTCGCCTTGCCCTTCACTGTATTGCCTCTTCCTCCAACCAGGGGAATGATGGATGAAGAAGGGAACCAGTTTGTGGCCTATTTCTTGCCTGTGGAGGAGACGCTGAAGAAACGAAAGCGGGACCAGGAGGAGGAGATGGACTATGCACCTGATGACGTGTTCGTGGGTTGGGGTCAGGTTTTGGAGGCCATGTGCCTTTTTCTCCCTCACAGTGGGGTTGACCCTGTGTCCTCATCCACAGGTATGACTACAAGATTGCTCGGGAGTACAACTGGAATGTGAAGAACAAGGCTAGCAAGGGCTATGAGGAAAACTACTTCTTCATCTTCCGAGAGGGTGATGGGGTTTACTACAATGAGTTGGAGACCAGGTACTCAGCACATTCTTACTTGATTGGCCTGGGTCTATGCTTCTCAAGACCCTGGGGCATGCAGGAACCACCCTGGAAGTCATTTATACCTAAGGCTTATTGTGTGCATTGTGAGCAAGAGCAGCAGAAACCTGGTCTTGCATATGGGTGGAGCTGGTTCTAGCATGAAAGGCCAGAAAGAAAATGTTCACAGAATGCTGAGAGCGTAGCACATCTAGGTAGACATCAAGTCCTGATGTTACTAAGAGACTTCACGTGAAAGTAAACAGCCAAAGTGCAGGGTCATACATGATATTAGTGTGAATGTCTTAAATCAATGCTCAATCCCTGCATTCAAAAATATGACCCCAAACTATTCACTGAGGGCTGAAAGTTTACTGCTGTGTCAGAGCCCTTGGGAACTGGGAAAGTGTGACTTGTTTTTCTATTTAAAACTAAGATTACAATTTTTTTTAATAGAGATTTTTGCTATAGGGGGTATGCGCTCATCAGAGACAGACAGTGAGAAATTACCCCCAGTGGGGATGGGGATGGTCTTGCTGGAATCCCTTCCCTTCTCCATTCTCCTCTTGGGATTTTGGGCACACACACACATGTACCCTGTTTGAGTTTGTCTTTTTTTTTTTTTTGGAGAGGTTTTTGCTATAGGGCGTGTGCGCTTACCAGAAAGACAGAGACAGACAGTGATAGAAAGCGAGAAATCACACCCGAAGGGGGGACAGCCACGCTGCAATCCCTTCTCCATTCTCTTGGGATCTTGGGCACACATGCACACGTGCCCGGTGTGAGTTTAAGCCACTGGGTCCGGGATTCGAACTGTGATCAGTTACATGGGAGTTCAGTGACATAGACATTACGCTAACTGCTGGTCCCCCTGCTTGAGTTTTAAGCCGTAGGTCCAGGATTCAAACCACAGTCAACTACATGGGAGTCTAGCAACGTAACCATTATACCATCTGCTGGTCCCCATATATTATACATTTTGATCCCACCCACCAGGCAGAAAATGTAAAGGCAGTGGAGTGGTGGGTTCTGGGTTACCTAGAGCTCTTGGCAACTTCCAGGGGCAGCACAACTGAGTTTTGCTTATGCTATAGGGGGCAAAAAGGTTCACATTCACATTGGACAGTTCCTGGGTTTTAGGTGTTAGCTTACATACCCAGTCACATGTATTTCATGTGTCACACCCTCCCATATACAGGGCAACTATCCTGGTACCTTGAGGAGTCACCACCATCTTTCCCCCCTTCTACCCCCAGCCTGGGTGTTCTGGGTTGAGTAGCAGATAAGACTCCCTACTTGGAGGGAGGGTGTCTTTTAACCACATCTTCCACTCCTTCCCATAATTTGCACACTGCAGAGTTCGCCTTAGTAAGCGCCGTGCCAAGGCTGGAGTCCAGTCAGGTACCAACGCTTTGCTTGTGGTCAAACACCGGGACATGAATGAGAAGGAACTGGAAGCCCAGGTAAGGAGTGGCACTGATCCAGGGTACTCATCATGGAGGGGATGGTAGGTGAGGAGAGGGACAGAGCCTAACAGAACAAACATCTTCTTTGCATCATCCCAATCCTGCCACTTCCAGGAGGCACGGAAGGCCCAGCTGGAAAACCATGAACCTGAGGAAGAAGAGGAAGAGGAGATGGAGACAGAAGAGAAAGAAGCTGGGGGCTCAGGTAAAGATAGACATGCCAGGTGCTGGGCACCCTGGGAGGGAGGGCAATGGGACTCAACTCTTCCCCACCCCCACAGATGAGGAGCAAGAAAAAGGCAGCAGCAGTGAGAAGGAAGCCAGTGAAGACGAGCACTCAGGCAGCGAGAGCGAACGGGAGGAGGGTGATAGAGATGAGGCGAGTGACAAGAGTGGCAGCGGCGAGGAGGAGAGCAGTGAGGATGAGGCCCGGGCTGCCCGCGACAAAGAGGAGATCTTCGGCAGCGATGCTGATTCAGAGGATGATGCTGACTCTGATGACGAGGACAGAGGTCGGGCCCATGGTGGCAGTGACAATGATTCGGACAGCGGTAGCGATGGAGATGGCCGACGGAGCCGCAGCCAGAGCCGCAGCCGTAGTGCCAGTCCCTTCCCCAGCGGCAGTGAGCATTCAGCCCAGGAGGATGGCAGTGAAGCTGCAGCTTCTGATTCCAGTGAAGCTGACAGTGACAGTGACTAAATCCCAGGGCCTTCAGGGCTGGCACAGACACAACGATGAGCAGGAAGGCACTTTTCTAGTGGCCTGTGTGCCCTTCACCTGTTCGGCCCCCTTCCCAACCTCTGCTGTTAATAAAGCCAGCTTCTCTTTATGCCCTGCCTAGCCCCATGTTTGTGTCCCTCCCAAAATCCACCCATAGCCACCACCCACGACCTCAGATTGAGGTAAGCAAGTGAAGGCCACAGAGGCAAAGCTGCTGGGTTTCCCATAAAATGCAGATAACAAAGGTCAGAATCTTTTTTTTTGTTTTTGTTTCTTTTTTTTTCTCCAAAATAAGCCCAGACCATTAAACAAGTGAAACTCCAACAAATAAGTCTTCTCCAACAGCGAGAAAAACTGTACAGTTACTCAAAGCTGATTCTGCCAGTGGGGCTGGGGACAGAAGTAGGTGAGGAGGGTTGAAATCATGGAAGAGGGCCTAGGAGTAGGAGGATCAGGGTCCTGCCCATCAGAGTGGGGCCGCCTGCGTCCTGCACACTCTGCGGTCAGCTGGGGGGCAGCTCTTGTCTCCCTACTGGGAAGGGCGTCCCTCACCACCTCCCAGGGTCAGGCAGAGTCAGCTCACCCTGATGATGGGGAGTGAAGACGACAGGACCGGCAGGGAGGGGGGTGGTGCGGGGAAGGTGAGGGTCCCATGAGGGACACCCTGCTGATTCCAAAGAGGTGACTGACCATGGCCCTTCCAATGACTAGTGGGAGGGGCCTGGAGCAGCCCTGGGAGCTTGAGGGGAATGAGCAAAGGCACAGAAACATGGAGGGGCCGGGTGGGGACTTGCATAGGTTGATGAGTGTGCAAGAGGTACATAAATAAACCTGACTCCCCCCCCAGCCCGGCACTGGGAGAGGAGGTGGGAACCCAGATGCAGGTCCCCAGGGTTACCCTGCCCCCTGGCTTCTTCCCCCTCCCTGGGCTCAGAGCAGAGGGAGGTCCACAGACCAGGAGGGCAGGGGCAAGAAGGTCTGGGGAATGGGGCGATAGTGCAGAAGGGCGGTGGTTTTAAAATTTTTTTTTTTTTGGTTTTTTGTTTTTTCCCAACATTTTGTATCTTTAATAACATACACAATGGTTACCAGCCATATTCTTAACAAAAGTTATTCATAAAATGTATCTAAAAATAACATTTTTTTTTCCTTTTCGGTGTGAAAAGCTTGAGAATGTCCCAGTGAGAGGGGTGGGTTGAAGGGCAGGAGGGAGTTGGAATAGGGGGGACCCTGGCTTCCCCACAGTCTGAATCCCCAAACCCTCTTCCTCCACCTGGGCCCCAGCACAACCCCTCATAGGAATAGGGACCAGAGGGTCTGTCTGACTGGGCTGGGACAAATCTCTGGGTTATGATAATAGTGTTCCACTCAAGTGAGGTCATGACATAATGGTGGGTGGGGGAAGGCTGAAAGAAAAGGGGTGGGAAGGTAGGGGGGACCCCAAAAACCAAACAATCCCCTTTCCCTTATTCCTGTCCCCAGGTCTTTCACCGCCCAGACCCAGGAGTGGAGAAGGGTGTGTGTTGATGGGGGAAGGGGACGTTAAGGCAACAGACTTCCTGACCTTGCTGGCTGCCCTGGCTTGCATGCCTTCAACCACTGCACCTGAGAGCCAGGGCTAGGGGGCCATGGGGACGGTTAGGGGTCAGGAGGAGTGGGCTCTGCCCTCTCCCCTCATAAAGTTGAGGCTCCCCCTGCCACTGTCTTGGCTCAGAGAGAGGCCTGGGGATTCTAAAAATGGGAGGGAATGATCAGAGAAAACCGTTAAGAACTATATAAATATGTATCTTAAATAGGCCTAAGAAATTAATTGTAGAGAACCTCTGATAAACAGGGCAAAAGGAGGTGAGTGAGAGGAAGGTGGCTCCTGTCCTTGGGGATGATGGGAAGGGGGAAGGGGGAAGTGAGGAGGAGAGAGGGAAGTTCCTCTCTCATTCCCCTTCTCCCCAGCTCCTCTTATACTCTGGAGAGCAGGCTATCTACCCTGCTCCTTGCTCCCCACATGACTCATGTCTGAGCAGGCTCCACAACGTAGTGGTCAGTTTGTCTCTGGGGGAGTCTGCTCCCTCGGGGAGGGGCAGGTGGTCAGCGGCCTGGAGGAGGCAGGGGTGGGACGGGGCCAGGTAGGGGATGAGAAGGGAGGGAGAGGGGCAGGCATCTGGCCATTCCCTGCCCCCTTTATCCTGGCTGCCCCTACCTCCTCAGGCCTCAGCAGAGATCCCTCAATGGGCCTGGGAGTAAGCAAGGCATGTGCCAATGTTAAACAAAAGTTAAAAGGATGAGAGAGTAGAAAAATATTAGGATGTATAGCTGAGCCAGCCCACCCTCTCGCTGCCGCAGAGAAGCCCGTTGGGGGTTGGCCCCCGCCCGCCGCCCGGGGAGCCTATGGGTGCGCTGGGCTGTGGGTCCTGTCAGATGGTGGAGGTTTTGTCTGTCCCATCTGTGGTAAGAAAGGGAGGAAGGGAGGAAGATCAGGAGCTGGTGGGAGGCCTGAGACAAGGTACTCAGGTAGCCTGTCATCCCAGTCAGGCCCTCCCTGGAGGCTGACCTCCCCTAGGCACCCGTCAGGGCGACTCTGAGTTGCTCAGTTCAGAGGTGGAGACGCTGGGCAGGTGGGAGCTGGGTCAGGGGAAGAGGAAATGCTCACCACCTAAGGCGTGTTCTGTCATGCTCAGACACAGAGACTCCAAAGTGGGATTGATCTCCAGGTCAGGCCCAGGGACCGGGCAATCTGTTTGGGAGAGAGCATGGAGGTGGTCAGGAATGACTGGCCAGGGGTGTGGAGGAGAGCTGAGAAAATGAAAGGTGGTATGGGGGGAGGAGAGGACAATGCTGGAGACATCCATGGGAGGGGGAGGCAGAAATAAGGGGAAGAAACAAGAGCATGCAGGCACACACACTTAGATGGAAGCTAGGACTGGGCAGAGATGGACAGAGACAGGCCTGCGTAGGTCATGAAGCAGGCAAGGAGATGACAGCAAAGGTAGAGGCTTGGAAATGCAGCAGAAGCTGGACTTACAGGCAGAGGAAGCGACACAAGGCTATGGGAGCATACTAGAGGCCATACACAGGCTGTGACTCTTCTGGACACAGCCTGTGCACATTGCCTTGCCTTGGGCACAGTCTGGGCATGTGCCCCAGACACTGGGCAGCCCTGTGCTCTCTGACTGATAGCCTGCTCTGTACTACGTATAAAAATTAAATGAAAACTCTTTCTGTTCCCACTTGAACTTGCTCGTCTGGACAGATACAGTTCAGGCAGGCTGGGCAGGCATGGCAAAGCAGGATAGTAGCCATGGGGCTTCTTAAAAGAGCCTCCTATTCTGGCATCTGGGAAACAACCCACTTCCCTGGGTAGAGCTGTGCCTACACTGCACTGTTGCAAACCTCCTTGGCTCCTTAGCCATCAGGAGGTAGTCTTGAGTTTTTTTTCCTTTTTTAAAGAGGTTTTTGCTATAGGGCATATGCGCTCGCCAGAAAGAGAGACACAGAGAGACAGAAAGCGAGAAATCACTCCCCAGGGGGGATGGCCATGCTGCACTCCCTTTTTCTGCATTCTCCTCTTGGGATCTTGGGCATGCACACACACACACGCCCGGAGTGAGTTTAAGCCACTGGGTCCTGGACTCAAAACGCGGTCGACTACATGGGAGTTCAGCAACATAGCCATTACGCTTATTGCTGGTCCCAGTCTTGAGCTTTTTTACCTGGGTTGAGAAGATCCTGCTCCCATCTCTAGTCTCACCTCTTATCACTGTCCCATCTGAACCCTGAGCTCAGACAGTAACAGATTCTTTAACTGCCCTTCCTTGAAAAACAGTTTTAATCTTAGGCGCCTAAGTCAGCTTCCTGTCTGATGGGTGACTGACAAGACAGGAGTAAGACAAGGGCCCTCATATTGGTGGCTGAAGGCTTAATTTGACAGTGCAGAGAAGCTGTCTGACAGAGCCATGCACACAGCACACTGGTAAAAAGAACGGGTCTTAGTGTTCGCTCCTGTAGCTCATTTGCCTGTTCATTTAACATCATCTATAGATGCCTACCACACACCAAGTCCTGTGCGAGGATGAGCCCAATGGACAGGGGCCACTGGCTTTACCAGACAACAATCCATTTAATGTCATAAAATAGGGATCCCTGCTGATTTGACAGTTATGACAGAAAGAGTTTGAGATCACCAGCAAATCTGAGATTTCTCCAAAGGCAGTCCATTCCAGACCAGCCTTATCTACCTGTCTTTTTTTTTTTTTTTTTTCTTTTTTTTTTGGGAGAGGATTTTTGCTATAGGGCGTGTGCACTCGCCAGAAAGACAGAGAGACAGACAGAGACAGAAAGCAAGAAATCACCCCCCAGGGGCGATGGCTATACCACAATCCCTTCTCCTCCATTCTCCTCTTGGGATCCTGGGCACGCACGCACACGTGCCCGGCGTGAGGTTAAGCCGTCGGGTCTGGGACTCGAACCACAGTCGACTACATGGGAGTCCAGCGACATAGTCATTCCGCTAACTGCTGGTCCCTTATCTACCTGTCTTTGAAGTCCTTGGGCCAGCAGTGGGCCCAGCACAGAGTATTCATCTCATTAGCTGAGCAAGGAAGAGACCCATGGCTAGTGCATCTCCAACCTACACTTTATCCACTTAGCCTGACCTCCAATCTCCCATTTCCAGGTTGGTCTGGGAGCAGAGGTAAAGCTCACTGGTTCCTGTGTGACCACCTGGCCTCTGAAGAATCCTGATTGTCCACTGGGTAGGACAGGTGTTGAGGAGATGGGACAGTCATGGTGTGAAGTGTCTGTGGAAGGGCAGGTATCCTACTTATACTGTGATGGTCCTGTATGCTCAACCCCTTCCAAATTGGTATTTAATGATCCTACAGAGACAGTGACAGAGGCCAACATGAACACTAAGACTCTGACACAGGGAAAGACGTGAAGATGGGGGTGGGGGAAAGGAGAGGGAGAAGATTTAGAGAGAGCACAATCTGAGGTGGAAAACTGAAACTGAGGAGGAAAGAACACTTCCTATAATGGGGCAGGGAAGATGGAAGCAGACTGATGGGAAGCACAGGGAGAAGTGCTGGAGCAGTCAAAAAAGGGGCAGTGGACATGAGACCCAGGAGAGGAGAGAAAAGCCAGCCGACGATGGACGAGGCGGAGCCCCTTGGGTAGGCACCTCACCTGGAGGGAACATAAGGATGGCCTGGGGCGATGAGTGGACCGGGAGCGAGTGGGTGCGCTGCACGGAGCTGCGGCTCTGGCTGGGCATGCTGTTGCTGCCTCCGGGGTTGGCAAACCATAGGTTCTGCAGAGGGTGCAGGGGAGAGAACATGGGAGTGAGTGGAAAAGAGCCCGAGCCCGAGCCCAGGCCCAGGCATGCTGGAGCTAACAAAGGAGCCCCTCCCCTCTAAGCAAGGCCCAGGGACAGAGATACATACACACACCCCTTCCCCCCACCCCACACCCAGGCATTGCCACCCCAGTCCCAGGAGTGCCAGGGTCTCTGCTTCCAGCAGGTTCACCTGTCTGCCCTGGCCCCCAAGGCTGGGGCTGGTGAGCGCATGTCGTGGGGAGACGCCCCCAATGCCTGAGGGGCTCAGGAGGCCCATCCGGCCAGGTGGGAGGGCCCGAGGAGGCATTGGGAACTGCCGCTGGGTCCGCCGGGCCACTCCCATCCCCACAGAGCCAGCTATGGGGAGTGAGTTGGAGCCGAATGCCCAGCTGGGAGAGAGCAGAAGACAGGTGTTAGCAGAGGTGGATGGGGCCATCTATCCACCCTTCAACTCCCACATCCCTATGGGTAGAACAGATCAGAAACCTGCTTTAAGGGACTATTTCCTGACCAAGTTCCTGCATCGCACATGCTGCCTTCTCCTGCATAAGGGAGCACCCAGAGTGGAGATGTAGAGTATGTATAAAGGTTTCCTCACTGTCTACTCAAAGTGGTTCTCTGAAGTTCAGCTCTCAAGGGCAGTATTTTTGTTATTTGTTTGGTGCACGAAAGGACTTCAGAGCCCTCTGCATGCAGGTGAGGAGGCGGCACAAACAAGGGATCTGCTCTTTCTTGGGACACATGCTATTTTTGCCAGCTTGGCCTCCTATTCTAGTGGTAAAGATCCTGATTTTTTTCTGGGAGTTTTTATTGGGCGACTTGAACCAGATCACTAGTGACTGAATACATGTAGATCCCAAGCTCAGGACACAATCACCCCTCTAAGTGCTGATCTGCCTGCTGACCAGCAAGGGCCCAAGGAGGGTGGGGTCCTGTGCCATGGCCACCTGCCTACCCCTTCTGCTGCCGGTAGTTCTGCATCTCTAATGCGGCTTTGCGTGGGAATGTTCGGAGGAGCTTCAGCACTTGCTGCTTCCAGGACAGCAGCCGTTTCTTCTGCGTCTCCGTGAAAGCCTAGAATTGGGTTAGAGTAGATGGAGAGGGGAGGCTTCTCTCAGACCTGCCTTCTGTCTATTCACTCAAATATACATGGCCTGCCTGCTCTGTGCTGGCCAATGCTGGGACGCAAAGTGACTGTGCTCACGGAGCGGAGTTAACTGGGGACGTTACGAATGTGATGACCATTGTTCTAAGTTCTTCCTCCCTGTGCAAATGAAGGTAGAAGGCATGGAAGCCTATAAGAGTATGAGGGGTTGGCAAAGGGGGCCCTGAGGTACCAGGATTTGAACTGAGGGGCAAGCCAGAGGGAGGGGGACTATTCCTGAGAGAAAGAGCATGGAAAAAAGCTCCAAGAAGTCACCTACAAAACCAACACTGGGGAGATGAATGGGTGACATGCAGGCAGAACCCTGTTGGCCACATAAGGAATATTAGTCCTGAGAGTGACTATGGGGCAGGCTTTGCCTTATCACTGCCCTAAAGAAGGCCTCACCTCATGAGTCAGGCACTTTTCGATGAGCTGGAGGTAACTGGTGATGTTCTCCTCATCTGGTCGGGACACCAGCAGCTGAGTGCACACTGGGATATAAGAAAGGGCAGGACATTAACCCTCAGCATGTCCTGTGGTGTGCTCCAGCCAACAGGTGCAGGAGGTGGGAAAGGAGACTCAGGTTGGATGATACCATGGATGTGCTGGGCAAGGTACCTGGGTTATTATGAGGATAGGGAAAGCACCCCCTCTCCCCCAGTGCCCAGTATGAGGCAGACATAAAAGTCAGTAGTCATTCTTTTCCCATTTTAACTCTTCAACAATTTTCTCAGCATGTACATTTTTTAGCCCAAGGAACCCAAAACTCAGAGAGGAGCAGTTGCTTGGCCCAGGTCACACAGCTAAAAGGACCTGGATCCAAGTATGAAATCTGCTATGCTGAGTTGCTTTAGGGAGGATGAATCCATCAATGAGCATGGTCATCCCCATCCCTGGACTTTGGTCCCCTCTGAATCAATGGACCCCACTGTTTGTCTTTTACTTTACATAGTTTCCACTGTACACTGTTCTCACTTGCCCAAGGTAGAGATGCTCTGAGGGTGAGGGCTGTCACCTACCATCAGACTAGGCAGGCCCAAGGGCAGTGGTCTCATCAACCCCCTGCCCCGCATTTTTGGTTACTCTGCTCCAGTCTCCGGGAGGCCTTAAAAAGCCCTGCTACCCCACCTAACTTGAATTTGATCCCTTGGCTTTTTGCCTCAGGCTTGTTAGCAAGGCCCTACCTAGTCTCACCTTTGCCCATCACCCGTGTAAACTGGCTGGGAATGTCTCCATCGGCGACGGGAGCTGGGGCTGACTCACTGCTGTCAGAGGGAGCCGATGCTGGTGGAGGGGGGTAGCTCTCTGCAGCTGGAGGGTCCTGGGCCTCAGTGCCCTTATCTGTGCCTGGGTGGGCCGCAGGGGGCTCAGCACCTGGCAGCGTTTGCTCCCCCCGGCCCCCGTCCTTGGCAGTGGGGGCAGCAGAGGTGGCAGCAGCAGCAGCAGCAGCCACAGGGGCCTTTCGG